CCCCGTACTGTACAAAAAACATTCCGTACAGCCAAGCATTGCGCATGAGACGCATTTGTTCTTCGGATTTGGATTTTCAGAATCGAACAGAAAAACTATCCAGACATCTCCGGAATGAGAAATTATCATCGAGGACCCATTGAAAATGCTATAAAAAAAAAGCAAAGGATATACCTCGTGCTCAAACACTGACGTACAAACCACGTCAACGATCGACCAGAGTGCCACTGGTCACTACCTATCACCCTAGGTTACCACCACTAAGGGCTATAATTCAGAAACATATGCCCAAGAGACAGACAGACCACAGAACGTCTTAGGTCTGTTTTTCCGGATACACCGTTCATAGCCTATCGCAGACCACCTAACCTTCGTGATATATTGGTACGATCTAAATTCAAGAGGCAAACTAACTCTTGCGACAACTATAATTTGGGTAGTCATCTTTGTGGTTCATCACTTTAACGTTGATGAAGATAACAGGAGCTATCGAAATATCCGTTTGATTTTGTTATAGCTTAATAAATTTGTGTTCCGCAAGTCAACTTTTCAATGATTGTACACCGTTTTTTCATTGTTTTTGCATTTTATATATATATATATATATATATATATATATATATATTGTTTGGTATCCAAACACTTACCCAATGCCAATAAAATGTTTAAAACACTCTTTAACACCAATAAATCGGTTAAAAAAGGCGGCCATTTTGAATTTCAAAATGGAGGCCCAAAGAGTGAATGAAAAAACTGGCACCCACTTTTTTTCTTGATCAGTAGTGTTTTTAGAGTTGTTTTAACATAATTGCCAAGAATCTACCCAAAATTTTGCTTTTTCTACATAAGACAACAGACTAATTACATTACGCAAGGGATATGTCCTGATTACGCCCTAACCAAGAATGTTTTAAACTGGTAAAGCCCTTGCCCTGACCATGGTGAAAATATATACCAACGTAACTATCCCATTATTTCTTGGTTTAGGAACTTTAGGCAGTGAGGTTTAATTTGTTGGCGCCAGGATTACAATAGAGTACCATGGTTTTGATGAGACGTTTAAGCCATTGGTTCATGTGCAATATTGTCCATATATGCATGTTAACGTACGAGTAGGGGATTCTCTGTGTAAGGCTCAACAGCAGGACCAGCACTGATCTGTCTTTTTTTGGTATACTACCTAGAATTTCATTTTTTATTACATTTTATTAATATTTACAACTAAATGGCAGAAAGTGTTATAGACCCGATATGATGTTAACATTCCAGCAGAGACTTTCACAAAAGTGCTAATTAACTTTTTCATTGAAGGCAAGGATGTAGTTATAGTAATTTTAAAAAAAAATTACTAGTAAATTATTTAAATATAGTCTCACAAAAGTGATAAGTAACTTTTTCATTAAAGGCAGGGATGTAGTTAGGGTGATTTGAAAAAGAAACTTTACTTGTAAATTATTTAAATAGAGAATACTGTAGAACCCATATTACGGGGGACACCCTCGGGACAAAAAGTGTCCACAGAATAGGTGTTGGCCATAGTGTTAGGGCACACTTCCCTTCATTTCACGGCAAAACAAGTCCCTTAGTAGGGATGTCCCCTTAATAGGGGTGTCCCAAAGGAGGGGTTCTACTGTATCAACTGGAGAAGCGAGACAAAAAGAGAGGCAAATTCGATTTTGTGTGGTGCATTTGTAATTTATTGTAACACTACCTGATGTGTACACAAAGCTTCAACAGCCACGCCTGAATTACAGAGTTACTTCATAATTACATCTTTACATTAGTTGGCGTCTCTAACTTAAATTCCATGAATAGTAATCGTCTTGGTAGTATAAAGTTGAAAGATCTTAAAATATCAGAGTGATTGAGGAAATTTGCACAATATTTGATCAAAAATTGTTTCGCAAACCTAGAGCAAAATATCTAAGTACAAACAACACATCAAATCTCTTTCCAAAATATCGCATCACTTTCTGAATTATAACATCCGTTTAAATCCATTGCATGAAATTCAACAGCATATTATTAGCATATACTGATCACAACCAATAATTTCTTATGCCTAATTTCAAACATATACAAACATTTTTTTAGTATTACCAAACTATTAACTGTTATAACTTTGTAACAACAAACAATTGTATTGAAAATATCTTGCTCACTTTTTATTTTGTAATCATACAGTGACACACAAGTTGGTTTGGATTGCTGTAGTGCTGTGTATTCTTGTAATTAATGCTCTCAAAGAACACTAAATCACACACGTTTACTGACGTTGTCTGATAGTGTAAAGCAGTTTCACAAAAAGGCGGCGGAGAAGTGCAGGAGAGCATCTTCACACCATGATTGACGCGGGAAGTGTCATGTGACAGAGGTAATGCTTAGCTGTACTGACATCTTTAATTGTACATTAAGCTTTGCTTATGTTCCAATTGCGACTTGTCTCCAATCAAACCGATCAATAGTGCAACTCTCAGTTGCTGGCCATGGCAAGACGCCAAAGGTCAGCGGATGTCGGCTGAGTTGAGTTGCAAGGTTGACATAACCATAGCGTCTGGCCAGCCATCTGCTTGAAAAGCAATTTTCTTTAAAAAAAAAAAAAAAATCTGCTGTCCTCAGTGCTCTGAATGTTAAAAAAAACAGATATTCTGGAGTGTACAATTCAATGTTCTTGCTGCATTTACTTCATGTAGAATAATAAACTACAACAGCGCCCTCTTAGGGCAGAAATGAAGGCATTATAAGGGTATGGAGTCGGGTGTTGAACAGACAGGTTTTTACAAAAATTTAGGGTTGGCGGTAGATACATTGTAAGTGTTAACAATCCATACAAACATCAAATATTTGAAATAAGTCCCACTTCGTAAAAAAAAAAATACATTTTGATCTGTGTAATTAGTTCCTTACAAACATATTTATATATATCCTGTATATAACCTTCCCAAATTAACATTATAAAATTTAAGTAATTACAAGTCAAATTTGGCATTTCAAAAAATTAATAAATCTAATTCAGCAAAATACCTGAACATATATGTGATTATTGTTTAGCATAATCGCATGAATATTCAATATTCTAATGAAGTTTAGAATATCACTAAATATCCTTCTTATTGCATTAAATGCACATACAGAAATTTAAAACGACAATTACACAACAATTATGAATTATACAACAGTGGGAGAATTTACAACTAATGCCAATTTGTATGTACGTCTTAATAAAAAAAAATCACCATTTACAAATACTCCGCAGCAAACATCTATTTAAATTTCACTAGCCTCTTGTAGTACAATCATAAATCTAAATGTTGTGAGGCCCATTCATTGATTGGTTGATGTGTGACACTGGCTTTAGGGTGTAACCTAATGATTGACACTTGCTTCACCAGAGGATTTACATGCATCAGTGTGATTAATTAAAAAATTTAGAGGAGTATTTTTGACATTGATTGTAGTAAACCTAAGCAACGGTATAAAAAAAAATATATTTAAATTTTAACAATGCAACAGAACAGAGGATTTTGAAATTTAGGTTTTCAATAATCTACAGATCTAATTCACTTCTAAAATTAGATGAGTTCAGAAATCAACGCATCTTCATCCTTTACACCTTACACCGTCTGGTACCCAACATTCTTCGTCCTTTTACGGCCAATCAAGTATGCAATAAGCACAATGATGACAAGTCCGGCGAGAGCGCACCCAACGGCAATTGGTACAATGTTACTTGAACTGTCATCTGCCTTGCAATCATCCACTGAAACAAAAAAAAAAAAAGAAATTAATCATCATGAACAGACTTAAAGAACAGAATGAAAATTTCACCTTTAGAAGCATACAGGGCATCTGGCAAATACAAGCCAAATCAGTCACTAGTTGAAAATCCTGATTCTGAGATAATGGCCAAAGCATAATATTGGAAATCTATTTTATTGCACTAAACTAACCTTTTTTTTTTCTATACATCATGCTTTATTGTTATATTCCCTATTTGCGATGTTAAACCAACAATTTTTAATGATTTGGAGTTTGGTTTCTGCCTAAGAAATGCCCAAAATCGTAAACATTGAAGGCTGATTTGTCAAATATTGTTCTTTAAACAGCTGTATGTTTAAACTCCTGAATGAAATATCAGATTTAAATGTTTCTTTAACCACTTTATAGCTCTCATTTTACTCTTTAACGCTGTAATAAATAAAAATCAGTTTTTGCGATGAGTCACTGGTTTGGCTTGTCTTTGCCACATATGTTATTTATATTTATTAAGCCGATGCCAAACAAAATACACAGAAAGAATAACTTTTATAAAGACAATGGCACCTACTGTATCTGTTCTAGAGTGCAGTATTCTACACCTAGAATCCCGGAAATGGCCTTCTCAGACTTTGAAATATAATTTTTAAATTGTCCCAATTTAATGTTTAAAAGTTCTACCTTCAGTATCATTTCCTTTTTTCAAAATTGGAAGATCAACAAGGAAGTCAAAAGCATAAAATAGCTGGTCAGTACAGTACTAATCATTATGTCGAGGATAACTGTACAAGTCAAAAAAAGCTGGGGGGTGGGGGTGGTATACATGATTAACTGAGAGGTGCTAAGATCACAAAATAAGATGATATGAGGTGATTTTTATCTAATTTAGCATGATCTTTTTTTTGCTTCAAACATTTAAATGGAGAGGGATGCCACAAGTTTTTCTAGGGGGTGCATGCCAACCCTACTCCAGCACACCTCAAGATACGCCACTGCCTGGCGACATGAAGAACTGAACAGGAAGAGTATTGAAGACTTACCCTCGCCAGGATAATTGGCACCATCTGCAAAAGGTTGGAGTTTGACTTCTGAAAATGTCACATTCGCATTTCCCGCTTTTACAACTTGGTTGGCATTACACTGGTAAGTCTTGTTCACATGGGTGTGGAAATAGGTGTGATTTGTAGAGGCATCTTCAACTAAACAAAAAACACAAATATAATTAATGAAATGGATTCGGAGTCCGTCAGCCACAACTCGTCAGATCAATAGAGAAAAAAAAAAATTAAGTTTAAAAAAAAATTGGGCCCAAAAAAACCTGTATCTTCTTTGAATTCTAACAGACAGCCACCGGACTAGCCTCAGTTGGAAATTACCAAATTTGTTTGTACCTAATATTAATAACCAGGTGATAGTAAGAACAGTAGCAAATTAATGTTAATATCATCATTTAGAATATCATCATTATTAATAACTATCATCAAATTAGAATACCATTTTCATCAATATCATTATTAACAGAATCAACACCATCATCATAAAAATGCCTATCAAATTATCATTATAATCACCATCGATATCATCATCACAGTGGTCATCCTCAAGAACATCATTATTAATATAACCATCATCTCCATTAATACCATTATTATCAATAAAATCAATATCATCATTGTCATCAAAATGCCTATCAAATTATCAAAATTATTGATCATCATCAATATCATATCATTAATATCATCATCGTAGTTGTCCTTAATCAGCATTATTAATATCACCATGAACACCATTAGACAAAAAAAAAAAAAAAACCCCCATTAAAAAAAAAAAAAAAAAAAAAAAAAAAAATGTGTTGGCCATGTTTTGGGAAAATCCAAAAAATGGGTAGGTCGGTAGGGAAACTTTTTTTAAAAACCAAAAACGTGTTTACGCTTAAAAAATAGAGCACACACACAAATAATACAATTTTGGATTAGCATTGCATACCATGCACCAAAATAGGCTAGGCTTTGGCCCCCTATCCTAGTCCAAGGCTATTCCAGCCTTATAAGCTCATGAATGGCCAACACAATAATTTTTATTTGACCTTATCAATATAATCAATATCATAATTATTGTCATCTAAATACATATCAAATTATTATTATTCATCGGACTTCTTATTATCATTATCCATAATGTTTCCTTCAATATTATGCTCCTCAATATTACATTCAAAAATAATATGAAATATATTTAGCATCTATATCAATATTAACTCCATTATCATCACCAAATTCATTATATTCATCATCTTTATAAATACTATCACCAGCCACAATTCATTAATATTATCATTATAAAACAACATTAATACTCGGAATTACCATTTCCATCCAGAATATAATACAGGTAGAATTCATTCATTTCAAAAGCATTTAATTTTGATTTCCCGTAGTTTTTGTCTGTCGTCTTCTCAAATACCATCTCCATTGCAATTACAATTGAATTGTTATACAGCAGCCTAAATGTTGAAGAACTTTCATTGCACATCGACCGGCTAGGATCCGCATTGGGAGGCAAAGTGCCATTGTGAAAAACAGTCTGACAGGTAAAAATAAAAAAGAAAATTTTGGTGCACTATTTTGCTTTAAAATAAAAATGTAAAAGTTAATCACAAATATCATTATTACTGCAGAAAAAAAAAAAAATACAAAGTAAGTTTGACATATACTGTCATTGACAAACATTATAAAAAAACCTGGTAAAATTCAAATAGAAAATAATGGAAAATATTAATGTGAATAAATAATTTCAATAGTACATATTCAGTTTTGTATTTGTATACACTGTATATTATAATGGTTTTAACGACTGTTGTACAACATAATAAGATTTACCCGATTTACAGGCAAATTTATTCCAGTATTTGCATTTTACATCAATTTAAAAATTGTCTCTAATCAAAACTTATGAAGCCAGGCTATACGCTACAACCAGATTATAATATACTTCATGGAATAAAATTCAAAAATAATTAGATGGAATGACATATTACATAAGGTAAAATAATAAATTGAAAATTGAAATACAATATTTTGCATTATATATCATATTTAATACCACCTAAAAAAATAATTTTTTTTTTTTTTAAACTACTGACTATTTTTTGGTAACAGTACATCATCTAATTCAGTTTTAAACCAGATAACCTGTACATGGACAGATACAGACAGGGAGGGGCACCAAATTGGCTGCAGGGCCGATTTAAACATTATGTATTTCTATTCTTTTTTTTTTCTTATTTCAGTACATCATCCTGTGAAGCCTAGTTGGCCAAATACTCAAGCATTGCCATATAATCTTTAAAGATTAATATTTTAAAGCACAATGTTGAATAGTCACTGTTTGGTTTAGAACTTTGCAAATGAAAGACAAATTACCATTTAAATAAACAATTATGAGCCAATAATTTTGTTTATAATGTTGACAAAAGGAGTTTAGCTACTGGTAAAGAATAATATTTAAAACTGGATTATGTAGTACGTGCTAAAATTTTGTGATGACTCCTTATTTGTCATGTATTGACTTATTTTAGTCACTTTATAATATATTTTATTCTGTTATATTAGTGAAGATAAGTGTTTGTGACAGCCTCGCTAAATTTGAATAATGAATTCTCACATGAGCTGCTTTGTAGTGGGTCAAGTCCTCGTCCAATATGTTATAGATTAGTATTAGTGTAAAATAATTTTTTTACAATATTTTAATTTAAAAAATGCCAATAATTGTAAGACACCGAATGGTGCTACAATATATTTCTTCCAGAGCTGTTTACGTGTCTGGATGGTAAATTGTCCCAAATTCTTGGTCCTTACTCAAATTAATATATGATAGCAGAGGGAATTGTATAGGGCTTCAGATTGGTGTGAATTATGGCAGCTCCTGGGTGTTTATACGAGATGTCAGGCTATCCACTATCTGAAGTCGAATGTAAAAAGGACTTTGGTGTCTATTTTGATTCTAGATCGACTTTTAGTTTACACAATCCTGATGTTTGCAGAAAAAGAAATAGAAAATTAGGAATGATTTATGGGGTTTAAATATCTTAAAAAAGCAGGATTTCTTAAAATGTATAAATCTATGATTCACCACATGTTGGAATATTGTAGTACAGTAGAACCTTGATTTTACGTACAGTACAAGACCGGATGACGTACAGTACATAGATCTAGGGATTCATATAATCAAGGTTGAGTTAAATTTGTGGTGACCCTTATCCTAAAATGCATACAAGACTAAATAAATGTATGCTATGAACAAACAATTACCTAGGTCTAAAACTGTAGGCCTAGGCCTACAAATAATACAATGTATTTCAGTATCTTTATTCATTACTTTACAATGCCACAATAAAGTGTTCAAATAAAACCATGTGTCTAGTGTACTAATTTATCACTTTGTCTTTTATTTAACTAAAAGAACATGAAAATATTGCAAGAATATCTATACAACAAAGGTATAACTTGGGAATTATCCTTTATCTCTATTCTAAACAACAGAAATGATGCGATGTTGTCTGGAAGTGCTGAGCACGGGAGTGACCACCCACTGAAGTTTTTGGCTTTTTGTATAATTACTCAGAGCAGTTTAATGAGCAAAATTTTTTTTTGCTTAACCTCAATTCCCAGGAAGCAAAAATATAAGATTATATAAGATTTCAAGGGACTACAAGTAAACAAGTGAAACTACTTACTTAGTAGACTTGTATTACTAAATCTTAACTCTTTTGCTACGGCGAGCCGCTCACAGCGGCTCAGATAAAATATGCAGTTTAAGCGGAAAGCCGCTGACGGCGGCTTGTTGACGTCACTGTAAACAAATGAAGATATCCCGGGGATATCCCCATGACGTTTGCATATATTATATTGAACAACAATCTGCATGACCTTTGACCTTATTTTGAGCCGTTGAGGGCGGCTCTCCGTCTGAATAAAGGCTGAAACAGGCTTCAAGCAGGCATTGTAACATTTCAATGGCTGTGCTTGGGAGACGTAATTTAACTGCAGAAGAAGTGCTTCGCAGACTTGCACAGTGGGTTGTCAATGATGATGATACCAGAGTGATAGTGATTGTTCAAATACTGCCACTGAATCACAAGATGATGGATATTAGCGATGATGATAGTGTAGGCCTAGCTAGGCCTAGTCATGATAGTGAAAGTGTGCATAACACTAGCACCGACGACAGTGACAGTGACAACTTCTTATAGTTAGACAGAGAAGGTCTCAAGGATAAAGAATATATATACTTTTGTATATTTTTGAAAGCCAATTAAAAACTTATAACGCTTTTTCTATATATCTCTTATTTTCCCCAAATTTCCTGCATTTTATTCCGTTCAGATTTGGGAAATATGGAATAGGAAATTACGTAGTGAAAGAGTTAAGCTGCTTATCATTTGCCATTGCATTATTTAAAAAATAAATTACTTTGTGTTTGGATAAATGTAACAAGACAGAAGTAAAATTCAAAAATAGGCTCCCAGCGCAAGCGTGTGTATACTGCTTGATTTTTTTTTTTACTACTTCCAACTCATGCAACACATCAGACTCTCTGCGTCACCCCCCATAATAGGTAGGTTAGGGTCTCTGTTGACGACCTCCCTTGCCTAGCTACACTAGCTAAGGCTGCCATCTACAGATACCAGCATAGGCTCTAACTATACTGAAGTAAACTGAAACTCTTACTAATACTACTTATTAGCAGCACATTAAAATGAGTCTGCCTAGGCCTACAATTGTCAAATTTAGTGAAATCAA